AAAAAAGATAACGTAGGGAAGGATGAGGGGTTGGGAATATGAGCCGTGTGACAGAGGGCGGAGGTGCAGACGGAAGGAAAGAGGAAGAGCTACAGATTTTGTTCTTTATCCTAGAGGCAATGAAAAGCTCTTAAAGGGTTTTAAATAGAGGTGTGACATATTTGCTTTTGAAAAAGATCACTCAGACTGCTTATAAGAAAATAAAGGGTGGGAGAGGAAGGTAGGAGGATATAGCAGTAATGCAGATGATGATACCGGTCTGAATTAAAGTGGTAGTAGGGGGAATGAATGATATGGATAGATTTAAGATTTGTGAAGGAAACTGAATTAATAGGACTTGGTAATTGGTTGAATATAGAGGGGGAGGAAAATTGACAAAACAAGGATGACTCCTAGGGTGCTGTCTTGCATAACAGGATGGATGATAGCATCATTCACTGGCATAAGGAACACTAAGAGAAGACCTGGTTTGGGAGAGAAGATCACGAGTTTGCTTTTGGATGTTGTGAGTGAAATGCTTGTGTGACACCCAAGTGGAGATATCCAATGGTTAGTTAGATGTGAGGGTCTAGAGGTCAGAGTGGGACAGGAATAATATAGGGTGGTCGCAGGAGAATAGAAAATTTCAGGCAGCAGTTTTACATGACTAGCAAAAGGAAACTGTTGAAACAGCTGCATATGCTAAGGGCCCATAAGACCCTGAATAACAGGATGTGGGCCAAGCTGGCTAAGACTGACTGGACCCAACATGGCCCTGGATTTGACCTAGGTTTCACCTAGGATCTCACTATATGCTCATTAACATAATCTCACATCCACTCACATCCCACAGTTCTGGGAACACCCATATTTGGTGTAAAAATGGATGGTGCCACAGTTCTGAGAAATCTTCACCTTTTTCCAGAAGTCTTCATGAACATTTGGTTAAAGAAACCCATAAAAATAGAAGCCCCAAACCCTATTGGGTGCAACTCTCTTGAGTACACCTGCACTCCCCTTTCTTGAGAGTGTGCTTCCACTATTTTCTGACTTGTCCTTGAATTATTTCTCATGACAGTGTCAAGAGCCTGGACAACAGCCAGGGTCAAGGTCCCACCAGTGTTGGGGGATCTCACCCAGCCCACTGGTATCAAGAGGCAGTGAGTGCATGGACTAGAGGTACAGATCTGGAAACCAGCAACTTATAGAGGGAGGGAGAAGCAAGGGGAGAGAATGAGATCAAGATCAACACTGCCTAGCAAGACTACTTTGCTTCTTCAGTCTGTTTGCTCTCCCACTTTCTACAATGAGAATTTACCTTTTCCACCTTCTTCAAAACTTCTGCCACCCCTACTCAATCAACACAAAAACACACCACGACCACCACCACTACCATCATCATCAACTGAGCCCCAGATCCCAAACTCTTCTCCTGAATCTTACCCACTATTCCCTTCCTTTTCTGTATCTTTGGTCACTCCCTTTTTATTAGGTTGGTGCAAAAGTAATTGCGATTTTTGCCGTTACTTTTTTTTTTTTTAATAAGATGGAGTCTCACTCTGTTGCCTGGACTGGAGTACAATGGTGCGATCTCAGCTCACTGCAACCTCCACCTCCCAGGTTCAAGCGATTCTCCTGCCTCAGCCTCCCGAGTAGTTGGGATTACAGGCGTCCGCCACTATGCCCAGCTAATTTTTTTTTTTTTTTTTGAGACGGTGTCTCACTCTGTCACCCAGGCTGAAGTGCAGTGGCGTGATCTTGGCTCACTGCAAGGTCCGCCTCCTGGGTTCATGCCATTCTCCTGCCTCAGCCTCCCGAGTAGTTGGGACTACAGGCGTCCGCCACTATGCCCAGCTAAATTTTTTTGTATTTTTATTAGAGACGGGGTTTCACCGTGTTAGCCAGGATGGTCTCGATCTCCTGACCTCATGATCCGCCTGCCTCGGCCTCCCAAAGTGCTGGGATTACAGGCGTGAGCCACCACACCCAGCCGCCCAGCTAATTTTTTGTATTTTTAGTAGAGACGGGGTTTCACCATGTTGGCCAAGCTGGTCTCGAACTCCTGACCTCGTGATTCGCCCGCCTCGGCCTCCCAAAATGCCGGGATTACAGGTGTGAGCCACAGCGCCCAGCCTGCCATTACTTTTTTTTTTTTTTTTTGAGACAGAGTCTCGCTCTGTCGCCCAGGCTGGAGTGCAGTGGTGCGATCTCTGCTCACTGCAAGCTCCGCCTCCCGGGTTCACGCCATTCACCTGCCTCAGCCTCCCAAGTAGCTGGGACTATAGGCGCCCGCCACCACGCCCAGCTAATTTTTTGTATTTTTAGTAGAAATGGGGTTTCACCATGTTAGCCAGGATGGTCTCGATCTCCTGACCTTGTGATCTGCCCACCTCGGCCTCCCAAAGTGCTGGGATTGCAGGCGTGAACCACCGCCCCCGGCTCTGCCATTACTTTTAATTGGAAAAAACCGTAATTACTTTTGCACCAACCTAATACTTTCTCCATCCCATCATCGTTTATACAAGCTCAAGTCTCTCATATCTTTAGGATATTTTCCTTGATCCCACTCTTCCTTCCAGCTATCATTCTATCCTTTTTCTCTTCATTGTTAAACTTCTTCAAAGAGTTGTGTATTCTTTTTTTCACTTCCCACTCATTTCTCAATCTACCTTACTCTGTATTCCCCCCACACCATTCTACTGAAATCTTTTGAGGTGGTCAGTAGGACCTTCATGTTCTTAAATCTAATGGGATTTTTTTTGTTTTTCATCTTCTTTGATAGCTCAGGAGCATTTGTCACAGTTGAAAGCAGTGAAGAACAAAGGTTGCTTTTTTAAAGTGACAAGCTCATTTCATTCACTTATGAAAAATAATCGGCCAGATACTCAAGTCGGAATAACTATAGTTTGTCAGTTATTCTTTCAAGTAAAAATGGAGTTCCATGACAAAATCAGCTAGTTCAGTTTGCAACTCAAAACTAACCAGTTGTTTTTATTTTTGAGATAACCATCATACTTTTGTATACAGAGTGCTTTATGCATACTTCCTATTTTGTCACACAGATTATTAACACCTGCACTCAAAAGTTGATATTTAATAAAATTAGTAATTTTCACTGCTTAATCAGGTAAAATTTGATTTTTTTCTTTCTTCAAGCATGTGATGGGGAAAAGTACAATGACCATTAGTAGGCTGATGCCACTGCCTTGATTTGTGTGCCAGTACACCTGCAGTTTTACTTACCATTGCTTTTGCACCATCGGTGAAATTGTCCACAAAGAAAAAACAAAGGCAAATAATGACTATTATTTTGCAAGTTGTTTTGACTTTGTGAAACCTTGGAAAGGGACCAATATGGACCACAGTTTGAAAATCGTCATTTTAGATTAATCAGGACTGACCCCAAAACTGATAAACAGAATCACATTCCCTAAAAGATAGATCATAGAAAAAAAAAAGTGGGTTTCTGTTAGCATCGAAGAGGAACAGAATCAGTGTTCATAGCCAGCCAAGTATCTCTTCATCGAAGAAAAAAAACAGGTATAGTGGAGTAATTGAAAGGAAAATGGTGCAAGGGGAGGTTTGATCAGAAAGTAGAATTTCAAATTAGTGCAGGGGTGTCCAATCTTTTGGCTTCCCTGGGCCACATTGGAAGAAGAATTGTCTTCAGTCACACATAAAATACACTAACAGTAAGACAGCAGATGAGCTACAAAAAACCACAAAAAATAATGTTTTAAGAAAGTTTACAAATTTGTGTTGGGCTACATTCAAAACCACCCTGGGCTGCATGCAGCCCATGGACCATGGGTTGGACAAGCTTGAATTAAGGTAAGTTTCTGCTGTTTATAAGGTCAAGGGTGCAACTGCTGAAGTAGGTGGCTGTGTGGAGGAGAAGGTCATTAGAAATTAGGAGGTCAGGCTGGGCGCGTTGGCTCACGCCTGCAATCCCAGCACTTTGGGAGGCCAAGGCAGGTGGATCAGAAGACCAGGAGATCGAGACCATCCTGACTAACACGGTGAAACCCCGTTTCTACTAAAAATACAAAAAATTAGCCCGGCATGGTGGTGGGCACCTGTCGTCCCAGCTACTCGAAGGAGAATGGCATGAACCCGGGAGACGGAGCTTGCAGTGAGCCAAGATCGCACCACTGCTCTCCAGCCTGGGCGACAGAGCGAGACTCCGTCTCAAAAAAAAAAGAAAAAGAAAAGAAATTAGGAGGTCAAGGGAGAGAATGGCCAGGTTAATGGGTGGATTGACCATGTGGACACTGAAGTCCCCCAGAATGATGGCAGCAGGGCTTACAGTACACAGCAAGACTAAAAGCCACTTGCTAAACTCTCCAGTGAATACAGAGGAGTGGCCAGGAGTTCAGTAGATAACAAGGACCAAGATGGGGAAGCATTATCATAGCCAAACAGCATGTAACTCAAAGGAAGGAGTAACGGTTTGAAAGTGGCATTCCCCAGTGCGGAAGACACCAACCCCACCTCCCAGACTATGGAAGGTAGGGTGCTGAGAGATTAAGTAGCTACCATTGAACGGGGTTACAAAGGAAATGGTGTTCTCAGAGGAAAATCAGATTTCCACTAATGTAAGGAGGTGGAAAAATGCTCATGAAAGATGTTGAGGATATAAAGGTGTGTGATAGTTATATAGCAGCCATTCCAGAAAAGGCATGATAGAAGTTTTTGGTTGCTGGCAGAAGAGTGGAACTTCAAGTAATAGGAGAAGCAGAGAGTTAGGGCAAGAAGCATAATTGGGAGATGGAGTAATATATAACTAGGGGAGCTTAAGCTATCCTAGATTTTGTCCTGACAGCCTCTGGGAGGAGCAGACTCAGGCCTCTAGAATAACAGCTAAGGTTTGAAACAGCAACAACAACAATCATTTCAAAGCTGCAAGTGAAACTGATCCAATAGTCCCATAGATCGTTTTTATTTTTTATTTTATTATTTTATAAACAGAAATTGAGCCTTCTGATCTCAAAGCATAAAACTTATTATTTGTTTCATCCCAGTTACTTCCTCAGGAGATGACCTTCAGGCCTCTCAGGAAAAGTATCAAGAACTGAAACTCATCAGATAAGCACATCCAGATAATGAGATGTGGGCCTCCTCATTCCTCGTGATTGCTTCCTTGCTCCTCCTTAGTTCCTACTTTCTTATACGTTGTTACATTTTTTCCCTGTGATGTAAACCCCTAGTTTTAGTGGGTCAGGGAGATGGGTTTGAGACTGAGCTCCCATGTTCTTGACTGCAGCACCCAAAATTAAAGCCTTCTTCCTTGGCAATAATTGTTATGTCAATGATTGACTTTCTGTGCTATGGAAAACAGGAGCTAGACCAAAGCCCTGGTGTTTCAGTAACACAAGCATTTTCTATATCTTTTTTTTTTTTTTTTCCCGAGACGGGGTATCACTCTGTCGCCCAGGCTGGAGTGCAGTGCCGCAATCTCGGCTCACTGCAAGCTTCGCCTCCCAGGTTCACGCCATTCTCCTGCCTCAGCCTCCCGAGTAGCTGGGACTACAGGTGCCCGCCATCACGCCCGGCTAGTTTTTTGTATTTGTTAGTAGAGACGGGGTTTCACCATGTCAGCCAGGATGGTCTCTATCTCCTGACCTCGTGATCCGCCTGCCTCGGCCTCCCAAAGTGCTGGGATTACAGGCGTGAGCCACCACGCCCAGTCAGCATTTTCTATATCTTAAGAAGTATGGAACTGTACACTTCTTTGAGGCAGATGTGCCTTTGTTCTGAAAAAAAAAAAAAAAAAATGCCCGAAGTGTTCTGCACAAGGGGACAGGCAGTCATGGACTATCACTGCTAAGCTTATACAGTTAAGCAAGTTTAAGCATGCCAGCTTAAAAGTACCACTGGTAGACCCAGTACAGTGGCTTACACCTGTAATCCCAAGCAGGAGGCAGGGAGGCCAAGGTGGGTGGATTGCTTGAAGCCAGGAGTTTGAGGCCAGCCTGGGCAACAAAGGGAGACCCCCATCTCTACAAAAAATAAAAAATTAAGTCAGGCGCAGTGGCTCATGCCTGTAATCCCAGCACTTTGGGAGGCTGAGGCAGGTGGATCACAAGGTCAGGAGTTCGATACCAGCCTGACCAACATGATGAAACCCCATCTCTACTAAAAATACAAAAATTAGCTGGGCATGGTGGCGCATGCCTGTAATCCCTTCTACTCAGGAGACTGAGGCAAGAAAATCGCTTTCCTGCGAGGTAGAGGTTGCAGTGAGCTGAGATCGCGCCAGTACACTCCAGCCTGGGCGACAGAATGAGACTCTGTCTCAAAATAAAAAGGAAAAAGAAATAAAAAAATAAAAAATTAGCCAGATGTCATGGTATGTGCTTTAGTCCCAGCTACTTGGAAGACTGAGGTGGGTTGTAAGGCTGAGGCAGGTCGGAAGGTTGAGGTAGGAGGATCCCTTGAATCTAGGAGTTCAAGGCAGCAGTGAGCTATGATCATGCCACTCCACTCCAGCCTGGGAGACAGAATAAGATCCTGTCTCTAAAAGAAAAAATAATAATAATAAAGTACCACTGGTGAAAGTGTATTCTGGTGACATAATCTTGTGTAACTTAGTTTTTTACTGGTTTTTTATTTGGGGGTTTTACTTCAAAGACTGGGAACTTGTTTGGGTGTGCGTAACCAGCTTAAACTAGAATTGGTTTTTTAAAATGTAGTTTAGGTATTTCAAATGCTGAATTTCATGTATTTAGGAAAGTTACTGATTCTAAATATGTATCTAGATGCTGGTGTTACTCCAAATGCTAACGTTAAAAATGTGTTTTGAAGAGTTATACAGAGAACATCAACATTTATATAATCACCCCTATTTTTCAAATAAGGAAACTGAAGCTACAAGAGACAAACTGGCCCCAGGTCACATACAGCTAGTAAGTGTCAAAATGAAGTTTTAACCCAGGTCTGAATGCCTCTTATCCATGCTCTTAACCACTGCACTGCAGTAGAGTATACCTACCTCTTGCAGTGGACATTTGGGAAAATACTTACAACTGGATTATAGAGCTGGTCACTTTTGAAGTACAAAATCACATGGTCTGAAGTGGAGTGTAATTACATACAAGCTACATCTTAAGTATATGTTATTGCAGAATCTTCCCTTGCTGTGGCTTGCTCACCCCAATCATTGAAATCATCTGTGCCTCTGTGAGGACATATTCCCAGAAGTGCTGTGACGCACATGCTTTCCTTAAAAACTGTGGTTTGGCCAGGCGCAGTGGCTCATGCCTGTAATCCTAGCACTTTGGGAGGCTGAGGTGGGCGGATCACCTGAGGTCAGGAGTTCAAGAGTAATCCTGGCCAACATAGTGAAGCTCCATCTCTACTAAAATACAAAAATTAGCTGGGCATGGTGGCGGGTGCCTGTAATTCCAGCTACTTGGGAGGCTGAGGCAGGAGAATTGCTCGAACCCAGGAGGCGGAGGTTGCAGTGAGCAGAAATGGCACCATTGCACTCCAGCCTGGTCAAAAAAAGCAAAAGTCCGTCTCAAAAACAAAACAAAACCAAACAAAAAACAAACTTGTGGGTTTTTTTCTAGGTATATTATTAGTTCAGTCTGCCTTCCAAGTTTGGCCATGAAGAAAGTAGGTAAGTAGGTGAGTGTAATAAGTTGTACATCTTGGATGCTTAATGAAATTTCAGTGTTGCCCTTTGGCATATTCCCTCAACAGGGTGTTTCAAAAGTCTCAGTCCAGTTTTTTTTTTTTTTTTTTGAGACAGAGTTCTCATCTGTCACCGCACGAGCTGGAGTACAGTGGTGCTGATCTTGGCTCATCGCAAGCTCCGTCTCCTGGTTCACGCCATTCCTGCCTCAGCCTCCCGAGTAGCTGGGACACAGGCGCCCGCCACACGCCCAGCTAATTTTTCTGTGTTTTTAGTAGAGATGGGGTTTCACTATGTTAGCCAGGATGGTCTCGATCTTCCTGACCTGGTCAATCGCCTGCCTCTGCCGTCCCAAAGTGCTGGGATCCACAAGCTGAGCCACCGCACTGCCGGCCTCAGTCCAGTCTTTTAAAGTTTTTAAATATGGTTTCATCTGAGCACCTACCAGATTCACTAGATAGAAAATTCCAGGCTGGGCGCAGTGGGCTTGCGACGCCTTGGTTAATCCCAGCAGCTTTGGCGGAGGGCGCATGGCGGGTGGAGTCACCTGAGGTCGGGAGGCTTTCGAGGACCCAGGCCTGGATCGCATAGGAAACCGGCCCGCTCTCTACTAAAATACAAATTAGCCTGAGGCTGGTGGCAACATGCCTAGAAATCCCAGCTACTAGGGGACGGGCTGAGGGCAGGAGAATTGCTTGAACCTGGGAGGCGGAGGTTGCAGTGAGCCGAGATCGTGCCATCGCACTCCAGCCTGGGCAACAGGAGTGAAACTCCGCCTCAAAAAAAAAAAAAGAAAATTCCAGACGAACCTGGTGGGCCTGCCATTTATGAGAGAAGCCAAAGAGCCAAGTATGAAGGATAGGGCCACAGGAAGTACAGACTTTGGAAAGGAACAGAGTGGAAGAGTGGAGACAGTGGGATAGTACAAAGCTACTCAGGGCACGATGTGGGATCTCCCCCACAATCCTTAAGAATTGCAGTAAAATTGCCAAATTTAGAAAATGCTGATTGTATCTGGATTTCTTGTGGAAAATAGCAAAACTTATCAGGGTTTGGTACAGGACAGGGTGAAAATAGCATGCACAAATGTCCAAGAGCGTGGAGACACCTAGTATGAAGTACAGCTTGGAAATCCCTGGAGGATGCTGAGATATAAGCGGCAATTGAGGGTGACCTAAGACAGTATCTGGGCTACAACATCATTAGATAAGATGGACTGCCTTGATTTTTTGTTTTGTTTTGTTTTTGTTTCCCCTTGATAGTTTTTCTTTTCTTTTTTTTTTTTTTTTTTGAGACGGAGTCTCACTCTGTCGCCCAGGCTGGAGTGCAGTGGTGCGATCTTGGCTCACTGCAACCTCCCCCTCCTGGGTTCAAGCAATTCTCCTGCCTCAGCCTCCCGAGTAGCTGGGACTACAGGCACACACCACCATGCCTGGCTAATTTTTGTATTTTTAGTAGAGACAGGGTTTCACCATGTTGGCCAGGCTGGTCTCAATCTCCTGACCTCGTGATCTGCCCACCTCAGCCTCCCAAAGTGCTGGGATTACAGGCGTGAGCCACTGCCTGGCCTCCCCTTGATAGTTTTTCTTAAAGACGTTATTGTTTTAGAGCAGTTTTAGGTTCATAGCAAAACTGAGAAGAAGGTACAAAGATATCCCATTTAGCCCCTGCCCCCACACATGCACAGCCTCCCCGATTATCAACAGCCTCTTGAATTTTTACAACAAAGTTGACTAATCTCAGTGGCCATGGCCTTTATTTCATTCTTCATCAAGTCCCAGCTTCTTCATAATATAAACATATATATGAGTGCCTTCTGTGTTCTAGTCACTTTAAAGACATGCATTATTTCCTCTACTCAGGCTACCTTATGAAGGAAAGTTTCACAGATGAAGGATCTGAGCTCAGAGAATTTTTTTTCTTCCTAGATGGAGTCTCGCTCTGTCCCCCTGGCTGGAGTACAGTGCCATGATCTTGGCTCACTGCAACCTCCACCTCGTGGCTCAAGCAATTTTCTTGCCTCAGCCTCCCGTGTAGCTGGGATCACAGGTGTGCGCCACCACACCTGGCTAATTTTTTGTATTTTTAGTAGACAAGAGGTTTGCCATGTTGCCTAGGCTTGAGCTCAGAGAATTTAAGCAACTTACGCCAGTTTCCGCAGCTCATGATTCTCTGTTTCTTCCAGTGAACCACACTGCCTCACATGCCTCATTCCATGGTTATTTTCTATATTCACAAGGAATTCCTGACTTTTATTTCTTTCCCCTTAATACTGTGCCCAAGACTGTCTCCTTGTCTTGGTCAACTTTCTCTAGCATGGTGAATAGATAGCCTTATGTAACAGTGTTGTAACCTGACAGGTGCAGAGTACAGGTGCCCTGGTTGCTACTACAGAAGGTGAAAAACTATCCTTAGCTCTGCCCACAGGCTCAGTAAGTCACAGGGCTCTTGACATCCCTGAGGCCACTCCAAGCTCTGGAGCATGGAAAATGCTCCCACTATTTAAAGAATAAAACAAAGTCATTCATACATAGTGTTGACATCTAGCAGGCAATTCAAGGGTTCTTGATTAACTGGTAATGTAGTCATTTTTATTTAACTTATATGGGTCATGGGGTAGGAGTGATGAGAAATACAGGACAGTTTCTCTGTGGTTTGATTCTATAAACTTGCACAAGGAATCAAGACAGAAGAAAGGCTAGTTCCAGGACCTTGAACAGAAATTTGTGGCCAGGCCTGTCACAAACTCATTCTAGCCCAGC